GGACACAGGAAATGTGAGTTTAAGGGACCAGAGGGGTTATTTGGCCCTCGAATGATGACTGTTAGCCAAAGAGCTGTTGGAGCGTTGTGCTGACTTGACTCTTGGATACATCAGGTTGACACTGCTCGTGAAGAGATGACAAGAAATGCAATTTGCAAAGCAATAAGATCAATCAACCAAATATTCAGCTTTGTGAAAAAGGCTGGAATGATGTTGCTCTTCCGTGAGATAATCGACTCTGCAGTACTGTGTGGCCATCTCTTCCTGTGTATCCCTGCCCATATTTCTCATTGTGTAATATTTTACCATTGAGCCAACTGCCAGGAACCAGTGGCTGCCCCCTGAGGCCGAGGCTCTGTTCACCAACAGTACACGCACTACAACCATTAACATAAAGTACAATATAGAGAGGAGAATGCTTTTTTAAAACTGAACAAAGAAGCCTGGCATTATAACTGAATATCTCACACAACATCAGATACCATCACAGACTGACCCTCTGTTCAAAGAGGAAGTATTATATGAAGGTAGATATGGTGCAAAATGCGAGAGCTTGTAAAACCTGATGTGAGCACTTGTAGAGTACAATGTGAGAACTTGCAGAAAAAATATCTGACCTTGTGTGCATACATTTACACTTGTATAAAATATCCACGTATCTGTGAACCAAATTTGAAGTCACAGAAGAAAAAAACGTGTTTAGCTTGTAGAAAAAAATGAACTTAGTGATGACATTTTCACTTGCAGAAAATATATATTTTTTCAATATATTTTCCATTACAACTGCAACTTGGTTATTACAACCTCTGGGTTGAGAGTAGAATCGATGACATCACATGGCTTAGATCTTGACATTGCAAGGAGAGCTCTGAAGTGCCGTAATTCCTCAGTTGTTCAGGTCAGAGCGGTGAGTGGTACACATATTCAGTCAGAGCAAAAAAACGTCACAGTTTTCTCGACAAAACACGTATTACTTTGACACATAAGACTTTTATTCCTACGCACAACACAAGTCCACAGACAGCGCCATGGATAGAACAAAGTCAGACCAGAGCAACAAGGAGACATCCGACAGCCAGAACGATGAGAGTCTCCTGCAGTTTGACGCAGAGACCGTCAAACTGCTCATGATGAGAGGAGATGAACTCTTTGAGTGTGTGACAATCTGTGAGGAAAGATACAGCGCTCTGGAGGAGGAGATGGAAGCTAAAGAGGCTCAACACAAGCAGCAGCTGGAGGAGAACCTGGTGACCATAAACCTGCTGAAGAGAAGAGAGGAAGAACTCCTTCAAAGCCAGGAGAAGTCCACCAAGGACCTGGCTGAGAAACAACAGAGCTGGGAGAGTGGAAAACAAGGCATGAAGTATGTAGTGGACGAGAAAAACTACCAGGCCGCTAGAAACCACACCTTGGAGACGGAAAAACAAAAGATGGAATGGAAAGTGAAAGGGGTGATGAAGCACAACAGTCAGCAGACCTTTAGAATCCAGACCTTGGAGAAGGAAGTCCAAAAGTTGGTGCTCCAGTTGAAAAAGCAGGGAGAAAAGATCTCTGAAGACCAACAACCGATGGAGACCAAACTGAAAGAGGTGTCTCAGGAAAAGTACGACCTGGCAAAGAAGAACCTGAGCTGTGAGACTGAGCTCAAACAGATGGAGGCCAAACTAAAACAGGAGGAGGAGAACGAGCATCTGGCAAAGACAACAAAGCTGGGAGACGGATGTCAAACAGCTGAAAGACCAGATGAGAGAGAAGGAGGAAAAGTTCTCCAAAGACCTGGCCGAAAAACACCTGAGCTGGGAGACTAAGTTAAAACAGGTGGAGGCTAAATGCAAACAGGTGGAGAAGCAAAAGAATCACTTGGCCAAGATCAACAAAAGCTGGGAGACGGATGTCAAAGAGCTTAAAGACAAAATGAGAGAGCAGGAGGAAAAGTTCTCAGAAGACCTGGCTGAAAATCACCTGAGCTGGGAGAGTGAGAAACATCACCTGGAGGACGAGAGGAGAAGATGGAGACTACATTAAAACAGGTCGAGGAATCCAAGAAGAAGCTGGCTGAGGAGAACCACAGCTTGGAGTTGGATGTCAAACTGAAGGACTTGCTAGTGAAGCAGTTTGAGAAAGACATGGAGGTGCAGGAGGAAAAGTCCTCCAAACAACACCAGAGCTGGGAAACCAAGGCCAGTTTGATGGAGACTGAAATAAAAGAGGTCACTCAGGAGAAAGAAGACCTGGCTCAGACACTTCAGAGCCAGGCGACTGAATTCAAAGAGATTCAGGCTCAGTTACATCAGGCAGAGGATGAGAACAACCTGAGCTGGGAGACAAAAGTCCAGCAGCTTGAGGAGAGATGAAGGAGCAGAAGGAGAAGTGCTCCAAAGACCTGAGCCAGAAACACCAGAGCTGGGAGACCACGGTTCATCTGATGGAGACACAACCTCGCTCACGACTGAGCTGGGAGGAAAGAGAAGAAGATGGAGGACGAGAAGACACTTTTGGAGGACCTGTGTCTTCACATGAAGAATAAGAGCAGAGGATTCTTCGCTCGCAGGAGGGCGACTGAGGAAAGGGACGTCGTTTTGCAGAAGATGCTACGCAAGATGCAAGAGAAGGAGATGGGAAAGGAAGCAAAGGGGGAGAAAGAGGAGGCTGGACGTCAGTAGCTGTCTTTTCCTCTCCTCTTTCCCTCCTCCCTTTCCCTCACCTCCTTCCTCACCCCCTACTGCCTTCCCCTTTTCATATTTAGTGTTTTTTAGTTGTGTTTAGACTTGATTTTAAAATAAAATGTTAATTAAATGTATTATGTGTGTGCCTCACTGTGTAAACTTATACAGTATATATTCATTACTGTATGACATGTTGGTTACTAAAGTACTGGTATCTGTTCTATTTGTGATTTAAACAACTTTGAATTTAATAAATACAACAACAATCTAATCACATTTTTTATCTAAAAAACTGCACATTCATTAATTGCTTTAATCAGAAGGGACTCGTCAGTACTTCATAAATCATATGAAACCTCACCAAGCCAGTCTTCTTTTATTCACTTTCAGCCCATTTTATGATCTGTAGTCTCCAACTGAGCAGCTAGATCAGGAGACATGCTGCTGTTCCTTTAAACCCTGATGTTTGGGTTCTAGTTCTGCCTTTTTTACTGAATCCATGAGGATATATTACATTACATTTAGCTGGTGCTTTATCTAAAGCAATGTACTGTAAAGTAAAAGTAGAAGTACTCATATCTTGTACTTGAGTAAAAGTAAAAGTACTCAGATCCTGTACTTGAGTAAAAGTAGAAGAACTCAGATCATAAAAAGTTACTGAATGCAGCTAAATACATGATATAATGTGTCCTCCCAAGCTTCCTTGCAGTCAAAATGGCGGCAAGACGACAACAAATAGGGATTTAATCATCTAGTATCCCGCCTAAATGTAGTAAATCTTAACAAATCAGGTGTGGAGTTAATCTACAAGACTGTCTGGTAAAAACAGACCAAATCTTTCTATGGATGTCAGTTTCTGAGCAATGATAAAGACCAAAATGGGGCTTGGACCAAACTAGGTAATGCTTGTTTCTGGCGTGTTGTTGTAGATCAATAGTCGATTGAGAGGAGTGAGGACTCAGCACTCAATAGCCGCGTTCACACCGGAGTACTTTTCACCGTACTTTTCGCGTTTAGTTCCGTTAGTACCCCTTATGTCGCGTTCACACCAAAAAGAGCACTTAATCTCTGGAACTTTTACCCCCATTTTTAGTGCCTGCTGAGAGATCGTACTTTCCTGGGGGAAAAAAGTGCCCAGTTCTGGTTGGCTGGGCGAATTGCAAACCACGCCCCGTACAACTCTGAAATGTTTTGTAGAGCCGCCATTTTATTATCCTCGCATTAGCATTATTAGCATTAGCATTCGCCCAGCGCACAAACGCAGAGAGACTAACTTATGGCAACACAAAACAAAACATGGGAGCGGTGGAGATGAGGAGGTGTCGGCGTTCTGGCGATTTACTCGGAAGGCTTCAGTAGAAGCTGCTGGGAGTCCCAGCAGCTTCTACTGAAGCCAGTCCCCAACTCCGGGGACTTCCGGCCGGGGACTCCGGGTGGCAGTATACGCCGTGAAGTTGTTTGCTGCCTGCCAGTAAACCCAAAGCAGAAGAAGACGAAGTGACGTCAGCGGCTCATTTGCGTAATCTTCCCTCAGGGAAAAGTACTCCGGTGTGAACGCGATCTGTACTAAATGCCCTGGGGTCATAAGTGCCGGGGCTCTGAGTGCCGGCACGGCAAAGTACTTGGTGTGAACGCGGCTAATGACTCAACCACTAATGGTTCCCTCGTATGCAAATCATTGGTTTTTGGAACGTGTGTTTGGTTAGAATATATCTGGTTTACAAAAGCTTATGGGTTTTTAACGCTTTGTTCTACGACATAAATGAACACAGTAAATAAATACCCCACTTCACTTTTTGTGTCATAGGAAAAGTGGTTGTCAGCAAGTGTCTAAATGAGACGACTAAACGTAATCACGCCCAACATTAGCCGCCTTTAGCTTAGCATTTACGCCTCAACTATTATAAAAGTGGTGTTAATATGTGGAGATTTTATCATACATCAGTAAGTATCATCAACATTTGTTCGCCACAGATCTGATTTTCTGGAATAGTGCAAAAGCCAATGTGAAAAATCCCAATAGGTGCGTTCACACCGGAGTACTTTGGTGTACTTTTCCCACAATAGTTCATCAGAACTACGATATATTTGCGTTCACACCAAAAAGCCCCAGGAACTAAAGTAGCTCAACTTAGTTCGCGAGACTCGCTTTTCAGTCCCTGCTACAGAGCAGGGTCTCTCGTGGGAGAAAGTAGTTCCTACGTCTGATTGGCTGTGCGGAATGCAAACCACGCCCCGTACAACTCCAGAAAAGTTGTATAAAGCAGCCATTTTACTTGCACGCATTAAAATCTCAGCGTAGCAACGAGATATTTTTTGGAAAAACCAGCAGTTATGACAACACCGAAGAGATCAGTGGAGCGATGGACCGATGATGATGTTTCGGCGCTTCTAGATATCTACGCGGACGACGCGATCCAGGCACTTCAGCTCAAGGCAGTGTCCAACGCGAAAATGTACGAGTGCATTTCGCAGGAGTTAGCGGACATCGGGATCATTCACGGCGCTAAATCATGCCGGGACAAGATCAAGAAGCTAAAGCAGGACTTCAAAAAAATAAAGGACCACAATAACAAGAGTGGTAACGGTCGGAAAACCAGCAAGTGGTATGATCGTTTGAACGCTTTGCTTGGCCACAGACCGTCATTCCGCGGCACCGCGGAGACCATCGACTCGAGCACGGCGGCGTGGGAGGATGCAATGGTGGGGGAATTGTCCAAGCACGACGACGACGAATTAGGTAAAATATCTACATGCACTGCACTGTTTAATCTGCACAATAATGGTCACATATGTACTTCTAAGGCTCGGTAGATCGAGCTAGCCATGCTCGGCTGAATTGGCTAACAGCTAGCTAGCTAATCTCGGCCGCTATCTCATTTGCTTCACTAACTCATGGCACTAATCGAATGTAAAATATACTACATGCACTTTACTGTTTTAATCTGCACAATACTGGTCTCAGATGTACTTTTATTTGCTCGGTAGATTGAGTTAGCAATGCTAGGTTGAATTGGGTAACACTGTTAGCAGGCCACAACATAGCTAGCTAATAACAGCTAGCTAGCTCACTAGCTATTCTTCCGCTATAAAAACGTTTGACTTGTGAATAAGTGTGCCATGTTCTGTAATTTGCTTCACTAACTCATGGCACTAATCGTGTGTTTCAGGCAACGTGGTGTTTCCCCTGGAATTGGAAATCAGTGAGATTTCCCCTCCGGAAATCCACGGTAGTGCCTCCTCATCTCCCGTTCCAACAACCAACGCAAAGGTACATATAAACACACTGTAACTACTCTGGCCTTGAAAGAAGGTTACGCATCGAACTGATGTCCACTAATCACGTTTATTTATTTCTTGGTACAATCATGAAACACCGTGAACATACATGTTTACACTTTTCACGCCCTTTTCACTCTCTCACAAACGTAAACATCCGGGGCTAGAGGTCACATGACTTCCGGTAAGAAAGCTCTTAATCATTTTTTACCAAATAAAATTCTAGCAAGCACAAAACAATAAATAAGGGCACTTTGAGCGTCAGCTATTGATCCTATCTTTATTAGCTAGTAAACACATTCCTAGTAAGTTGTAAAACTACTTATTTCTCCTATTAGGAAAGAGGACATGGGATGACCGCTTCCTGGACACCATCACGGCGATGGATGACCGGCGTGCCTTGGCCAGCACGGAAAATGAGGACCGGCATGCCATGGCCAACAAGAAGATGCACGACGAACGGCTGCTGCATGAACACAAGGCCCAGGAATCGCAGGACCAGCTCTTAAAGGTGATGGCTGACTCGGCGGCGCGCCAGGTGGAGAGGTGGCGGTGCGCCAGGTGGAGGTGGCGGCGCTCCAGGTGGAGCAACAAAATAGCTTTCAGGCTGGGCTTCTGGGAGTGCTAAGCGAGCTGGTTAAATCCAACAGGCCTCCAATTAAAAAGAGAAAAAAAACTTGTCGTCGTTAGTCAACTATAGAATGACTTGTTGGGAGGCGTGTGGCGCAGTGGCTGAGTGCGTTGGTGTTCGGATCAGGGGAGCACAGGTTCAAACCCCACTGCAGTCAGCATGTCGTTGTGTCCCTGGGCAAGACACTTCACCCCAAATTGCCTACATCTGGGACAGTCAATTTTGTATTATTGTAATATATATATATATATATATATGCCACTGTTATAATAGTGACACCTAACTTACTTTGCACTAAGGTGTGTCTGATGCTGAGTCTATCCCCACATCTGGGACAGTCAATTTTGTATTAAAGTACATGTATATATGCCACTGTTATCAATAGTGACACCTAACTTTGCACTAAGGTGTGTCTGATGCTGAGTCTATCCCCACATCTGGGACATTCAATTTTGTATTAAAGTACATATATATATGCCACTGTTATTAATAGTGACACCAACTTTGCACTAAGGTGTGTCTGATGCTGAGCCTATTATTGTTATTTTATATTAATATTGCCACTGTTATTATATTGTTTTGATACTACTGACACTTATTGATCTGCTGCTGATAAATAAAAGAACCTACATGGCGATGTCTTGCGTGTGTGTGCTTATTTCTCCTGACACTTTATCTTTATGGTGACCTGTGTAGCATCCTATACATCACATGTAAGTGATTATTCTGATACCATCATGACACCATGAAACTGGCGAAGCTTTATTTATAGTGTCCCACCCCATACATGTGGCTTTGAAAAAGATCATTCCATTGTATTTCAAAATGGCGTCCATCACACAAACACTATTTAAATAAATGGTTAAGTTTGTAATTAACAGTGTTGTGAGTTCAATATTTAATTAATTATAGTAAGGGAACATAGGAGTTCGTGAACTGAGTTCCTCTCAGGAGGATATATAATAAGGTGTTAACTGGTGAGCCTATTTACTGTGCAATACTACAGACATGTTAGTGGTATTATTTCTTATCTAACTCTTTCCTATGGTCAGACAAATCAGAAGTCATTTAAACTTAATTTGAGATTTTGTTTTTTTTGTTTCTCAATTGATTTTCCAGAATATGCACCACCTAGGCATAGACTTTATATCACAAATGAATGACATGTACTACAGTAATTGATGATATTGATATTGCCTACTCAGATCTAGATGTGTATAAAATGAAATCAATTCAAAGTTTCTTGCTGCTTTTAATGCAATTCATGGCTGCAGGGCACACGTCCAAAATCCTTATTCTACAATCATTTAATCAAGACACTTGTGTATATTTTACTTTAATTTGTAATAAACAAAAAATATGAATGGTTGTCATCATTGCTCAGTATTACTTAGCTATTTTAAAGTACTTAAAAACTATTATAAATATTGAAAAGTCATGACTGAAGTGCATTGTTCTGCTGACAGTATTTCTACTCAGTATTTCACCTGTATGGTGCGGTCTGGGCGACAACACACAGTGAAGATGATCTGCTGCACGTACGTAGTTCTTCAGGTGTGTATGCTTAACATGTATGTATTTATCACAGTAAAGATGGTATCCAAAAGTTTTTTTAAGAGCCTTCAACCTCATCCCATTGTCTTTAACACACATTCAACATAATAATATACTCATTAATATACAAATATACAGTATGAGTACTGTTTTGATACTGACATTTTATCTAAGGTGTGTATGCACTATTGTAATTTTGTCTGTTGACTGGGGTAAATAAAAGAGAGAACCAAAAGTACAAAAGATCAGCTTTATTGTCAATTTACATGTTCAGATGCGTCATAAGAGCTGTGCGCGTGTCTTGCCCCCCAGCCTCAACAATGTCTGGCGCTGGCCCATCAAGCTGGGTCGCCGGTAAGGCAGTCCATTCCTCCCTGTACTCCACGACGCTCACATAGGTTATGCAATACGCAACATGCTGCCACCTGGATTTTGATGTTGTCCATGTTGCAGTCGTTTCGCTTCATCAAGCACCGCCATCTGCCCTTCAGTCTGCCAAAAGCGTTCTCCACCACCACTCGTGCTCGGCTTGTTTTGCGGTTGTACACATGTTGCTGGGGTGTGAGCCTTCCTTGGAAAGGTTTCATCAGCCATCTTTGCAGGGGGTAGGCTGAGTCACCAAGGATATAGTAACCCACATCATGTCCACCAATATTCTTTGTTACATGAGGAAGTAGACCACCTCTATCCACACAACTAACCAGTGATGACAAGCTGAACACTCTGCTATCATGCATGCTCCCTGGTAAGCCAACAAAAACACTCCAAAAGAGGCCCTTACCATCCACAACACCCTGCAGGATGACAGAGTGCCAGCCTTTGCGGTTGAAATACTCGTTGTGGTATTCCTCTGGTCTCAGAATGGGATGTGTGATCCATCTACTGCACCTACACACTGTGGCACACCCCATCTGCCCTCAAAATATAACGCCATCTCCTCTAACTTCTCAGAGTTCGGCCATGGCATGAACTCAGGAAGGAGTAGGCTCACAACAGCGGAACAGAACTCCTGCACACAGTAACACACTGTAGATCTGCCGACTCCAAACAAATGAGAGATGGTCCTGTACTCAGAGTTGGTCGCAAGTTTCCACAGTGCTATGGCGATTTTTTTAGGCACGGGTACACACTCCCGGTAGTTGGTGTTGCGTCTCCCCAACGTTGCTTCCAGGCGCATACAGAGCAGTTGAAAAGAGCACTTGGACATTCGGAAATCTTTGATCCACTGCTCATCGGTGTACGTTGGCACCACCTTTTCCCACCAGGCCGATGTTCTATTGTTCACCCAGAGAAAGCGCGGGACACGACGCGTTCCATAGTATTCGCATATCTGGAACACATACAAAGACACAAATTAGCCCTACATAACTCCATAAAATCCTACATTAGATAGTATTAATGTGATTTACTGAACGTACCATTGCTGTTCTTTGGGCGTGATAACGGTCATCCTCCTCAGCTGTCCTACGACGAAACATGTCCAGAGCGTGTGCTTGTCGCCGTCCAGTCCTTTTGTTACGGGCCGTCTCCACGGCAGCGTTAAAAAATCTTGAAACGCTTCTGCCCATTCACTTTGAATGGGGTGACGTCACTTTTTTTCGCTTTCGCCGAAATGCATTGTGGGCAGGCGAGCGGAGATTCTCAGGATTTTCAAGATCCAAAGTTGAACAATGTTCAACTTTGAAGCTGAGGAGGAAGCGTCAGCCAATCAAATCCCATGTACGCAAATCTGACAGTTCAAGCTCTAGCCAATCAAACGGCGTGTATGCTGGAGAGATATCCCGCAGATCATTTCCTCATATTCCAAAAAATGGAGGAGAAATTAGCGGGTAGCGAATCAATCACCCGGTGCTTTATGACCAGACCTACCGGGATATAACCGGAGGAGCCAGGCATGGAGGGAGGTGGCAGAGACAGTGGTATGTTTTCGCCTGTTTTGGGGAGTTTATATCCAGTTTACTTCGGGCTTTTGGCTTCGTATGTCGCGGGCGGGAGATTCATGTGATTGGTTGATCGCAAAAAAAATCCCCAAGCTTCAGATACGCCCACCTCCAAGATTTTTTAAACGCTGCCGTGGAGACGGCCCGTTAAGGCTTCTTAACGCCTTCGCCTCCGAATCAGGCATTGCTATTGCATTTGAATGGTCGTGTATTTGTGGCTGAGTTATTGGCTTAAATAACTCAGTTACGAAGCTGTGTAACACGAGCACCAAAACCACAACTTCAGTCAACTCCATAGCGTGTCTGACTGAGGTCGGAAGGTAAACAGAAGCATACAGCGGAAGCGGAAGTTTTTTTTCTTCTTTCTTCTCTCGGTTTTTTGGCGGATTGCAACTTTAAGGTGCATACCGCCACCTACTGTACTCGCCGTGAAGTTGTTTGCAGCCTGCCAGGAAAAGCTAAGCAGAAGAAGAAGAAGTGACGTCAGCGGCTCATTTGCCTAATCCACCCCCAGGAACTCATTTTGGTGTGAACGCGATCTGCTTTAGTTCGTCAGAACTAAAAGACCTCTCATGAACTAAAGTTCTCATGAACTACTGTGGGAAAAGTACTTGGTGTGAACGCGCCTATAGAGTCTAGTAGAGGGCTCCTCCTGTGCTTATAGAACTAGGGTTACAATACGTAACCCACCGTTATCCAGTAATGTGAAACAAGTCTTGGGATAAACAAGATAAATGTTTCTTCTTTAGCAGCTGTGGGCAGCCGCCTGTTAAATGAAACAGCAGCATTTCAGTGGTTCTGGTGACCAGGAAATGCGACAGAGCTGCTCCAACATTCCTCTGACTCATTGCCAATACATGCAGTCATCTGACCGGAAAAAAGGGGACGTTTTCAATATACCCAAAACAAGCTGATTTACTAAGTTATGGACATACTTTTCAACGCCAACAAATCCACCATCAACTACACATAGGAGCAATACCAGTGGCCTGTACTACGAAGCTAACTTCCTGGATTTCCGGTCCTACGACGCTGGTTCACTTCTTAGCGGGCTAGATAACTTATTCTGAACGGCTAGCCTGCTCCGGAGCAGGATAGGTTCTAGGATAAGAGATCAACTGTGCGGAGTTCTTCTTCTTCTTTGCTTTAATGGCGAATCGCTTCCACTTGGAGCATATATCGCCACCTACTGTTGATTTATTTAATTTCCATGTTAAATCCTTGTCCTCAGACCGTTTCAATAAGGATAAATCTATTACAGGTTGAGGTAGCAAGTAGCAACCATGGTGGAACAGCTGATAACAACAGTGTGCAGAGTTTAAAGCGATCAAGTCATA